AGTATTCTTCAATATTTCTAACTCTTTTCTGAATTCATTCAGAAGTTTATCCCTATCTTCCTTCAGTTCTTTGATTTCTTTTTTTGAGTGTTCTTTAAATTCAATGAATTCTTTTATCATGTTTATAAATGTTCTTTTGATTTCCGTGTCCTGCATTATCTCTAGGGGGTTCTCACTGTACTCCTCTAGAGTACTATTGGTATTTGGAGTGGATATGGTATTTTGGTTTTTCATGTTATTATTTTTTCTCTGTGATTTTGACATGTGGATTTCTTTTGTAGTTCCTGATTCTTGTATGAGATTCAAACCTTCCTTTGTCGAGTTTTTTTGTGAACTTTATGTGTCTTTGTGGTTTACTTTTTGGACATGGAAAGCTGTTTCATCTAAGCTTCCAGTTCTCTCTTTTGATTTTGTATTGGAGTGGCAGGATTGCTTTTGTCTTCAGGAGTTCCCACAGAGGGCCAATTCAGGTGAGGGTCAGATGTTTTCAGGCTTTCTCCTAAGGTCTGGATCCCTCCAGGAGCCATTTTGCCCTCATGAATTTGGGGGTTGGACTGGACTGGGGAGCCTGGCCCAGGAAAGATGCTGGTCTAGGGCAACTGGTGACCATGCCACTGAGAGATGCAAAGGCAGATGGGGTGGTAAGAGACCCCATGGCCTCCTGGAGACTGCACTGAGGAGCTGGGTTGGTCTGGATGCAAAAGGTCAGGAAGAGTAAAGGTCAACCCCAGTGTCCCAGAAAGAGGCTGGTAGGTGGTGCACACCCGGGGAAGCAAAGAGTGTTGAGGGCGGGGCCAGGCCCAGAAGCAGTGCTCCTGGTGTCTAGAAAAGGCACTAGGTTGGTCTGGATGAAAAGGATCAGGAAGCCTTATTGGTTCCCCAGGTGTCTGGGGCCCCAGGACAAGGAACGGGGCAGGGTCCAAACTCGGTGGAGAGAATGGTGGTGGTGGAGATGGGAGGGTGAAAGAGGCTGTGGGAGTCATGGTGTGGAAGGTGCAATGGACTTACCCTGGAGAGAGGCCTGAGGGTAGGAGAGAGACCTGCTGTGGGTCCTGCAGGCCCAGGGAAGCAGAGGGAAGTGAGGGCAGGGCCAGGCCCAGAAGCAGTGCTCCTGGGGCCCAGAGAAGGCACTATGTTGGTCTGGATGAAAAGGATCAGGGAGCAGTATTGGTTCCCCAGGTGTCTGGGGCCCCTAGACAAGGAATGGGGCAGGGCCCAAACTCGGAGGAGAGACGGAGGTGAAGATGGGAGGGTGAATGAAGCTGGGGGAGTCAAGGACATGCTCTCTTTACTCTTGGGCTGCTTTACTGTTCTCCTTTCCCTTTCTCACAGGGGAGGGCACAGGCCCATCCCCAGACAAGGGACCACAGAGGGCACTCTAAGATAAACATGTCTGGATCTGAAGAGGGGGGGACACCCCCACCCCCAGAGCCAGTATCTTAGTAAGCTAAAACAACTTACGACAATTTGCTAACAAAATGTGTATTAGAATAGATCACAGAATGAGTTAACAGGAAGCAAAGGTAAGACTGTTGGAGGAGAAATAAATTGAGCTAGAAACTGAAGAGACAAAGAAAGGAAAGGAAGATGTATCTATGCCACACCTGACAGAGCCAGAGGGTATTGGGGTGAAAGCATGAGACTGTAGCTTCAAGGACACATGGGAAAAGAGTTAGCCAGTATCAATTTCATCAACCAATAGAATCACCACATAAAGAGAAAAGGTTTCAAAGTACATATAATGTACGTATTAAAAAATTTGGAAACAAACTATTACTTATCTAATACACCTATCCCTGTTTCCTATATAGCAATCCTACAGTGTACATACATACGTATACACACTCACACACATGTGTACACATACACACAAACACAAACACACCCCACATTTTTATTCTCTTTCAATTATTACTAAAGACTTTCCTAATACACAGACAAAAAGCTGTTCTGTATTTATTAAAAGTATAGTTTGAGAAGATGTTATACACTATACATTTTGAAGCATGTCTTCTGAGGTTTTTTTTTTTTTTAATTTTTGTCTTCTGAGTTTTATATCGACATTTTACTCAAGAAATTATGTGATAATTTCTGAAATGCCCCACTGCTTTTACATCACATACATTAGCACTATCATGGATCATTAACTAGTAAAACATAAGCAATAGTGAATGCCAGAGTTCTACTGATAATGTATGCATTTATAATGTGATACTAAACAATCCTTAAGACCTCCCAAATACTAAAGATGTTTTCCATGTAACAATGCTCTTGTAGGTTTCCCTAACAGTATTGCCTTTAATTATTAAATGGCTGACAGGGCTGTAGTTATGGAAAATGGTTATGAAAGCAGCAAATACCTGAGGTACTCACAGCTGTGGAGTAGGGATTATGAGCTCCAGTATTTTCAGCCCAGCAGCCACATCCATAAAGAGCAGCCTAGGAAAACAGAAAATAGATGCATATAATACATCATAAATATTAGATGTAATTATCAGCTTTCAACAAAAGATGAAAGTTATATCCATCTAATAAACCTAGTTTATAATGATGTAGAAAAGTAGATGATAAACAAAACTGGATATAAAAATGCCACAATGAATACAATGAATATTACTTTGTGCACTAATTAACAAAAAAAGAAAGACAATCTCAAGAAAATAAGGCAACAGCAATGACTAAAGAACAAAAGCTGTTCTCAAGCTTTCACATACGCACTCAACACACATGTGTACCTGAATGCATAAGTATGCACACGCACATACATACATACACACACACACACACACACACACACACACACACACACACATACACATTCATGAATGCATGTACACACAGAAAAATTAAAGTTAGGGGCTAGAGAGAGTTCAATAGTTAAGAGCAATGGCTGCTCTTGCAAAGGATCTGGGTTCAGTTCCTAGCACCCACAAGGCACCTAAAAATTGTCCCTAACTCCAGTTCCAGGGGATCTAATGCCCTCATCCAACCTCTGCAGGCATTGCACAACATGGCACACTTACCTATATGCAAGGTTACTCATTCGCATAATAAAAGTAAATCAAAACAACTTTACAAGATATAGATGCAGGAAAGAACTTTCTAAATCAGACATCAAGAATTAAGGTCAACAATCGACAAATGGGACCTCATTTAACTAAAAAGCTTCTGTACAGCAAAGGAAACAGCCACTTGAGTGAAGAAGAAGCCCACATAGTGGGAGACAATCTTCATTAGATATACCTCTGACAGAACATTAATATCTAGAACATAGAAAGAACTAAAAAAAACAGAGGCAAGAAAACAAATTACTCAATTAAAAAAAAATGAGGTATGGGTCTAAACAGAGAGCTCAAAAGAAGAAACAAAAATGGCTAAGAAACTCCTTTAAAAGCGTTCAACAGGAAACCTTAGCAGACAGCCTGAGAGTGCCTAATCCGCCTGATGTAGAGGCTAAGAACTCAGCAGACTGACTGAGAGTACCTGCATCCAGCCTCCACGTGGTAGTGAGCTTCTCCAAAGTGCACCTTACCCAACCGCTTAATTGGGATTACGTGAAGCCCTGACCATGGCCCCTAGGGTAAGGCTGAAACCTTAGCAGACAGCCTGGGAGTGCCTGATCTGGCCTTTGCCTAGTGCAGAGACTGAGAACTCAGCAGACTTCCTGAGAGTGCCTGGATCCAACTTCCACATGGTGATGAGCTTCCCCAAAGTTTCCCCAAATAGCACCACACCCAACCCCCTAACTGGGATTGTGTGAGGCCCCCACAGGGTGGAGTGTTAACTGGAAGTGTCCACTGACTGACCACTATGCTGGCAAACTATAGTCACACTTCCAACATTCATCAAGGAGTCGAGGGGGGAGTCAGTTACCCGTCCCACCCAATCAGTCAACCTTAGCTGTATGAGGGAGAGGGGTTAAGAATATATAAGCCGAGAATGCCACGAGGCACCTCTCTCACCATTTTGTGCCGCTGTCGGGAAGTCACAGGATCTATATTTGAGCATAGACTTTCCAGCAGGCGCAAATGGGGGTGGGGCACTATTCTGTAACTAAACCCCCATCCTATGCTCCATTAGCAAGCCCAATAAACTAATTAGGATTTAAAATAAAATAAAACAAAAACAAAAACAGAGCTAATGGAAACCTTCATTATTCCACCAAAGTTGACCGCATGTTGGCAAATCCTTTGGTCTTTTTTTTTTCCTTTTGTCTTTTGGAACAGGGTCTCCCTGTAGCCCCAGTTGGCCTGAAGCTCACTACATGGACCAGGCTGGCCTCCAGTTCACAGAGATCTGCCTGGCTCTGCCTCCCAAGTGCTGGGATTAAAGACATGTGCTACCACGCCTGGCTTTGGTCTTTGATTTCTTATCCCTACTTTTCTACCCTTAAACTTCATATTGTGTGTGTGTGTGTGTGTGTGTGTGTGTGTGTGTGTGTGTGTGTGTTTGTGTGTGTGTGTATTTTATGTAACCAGCTTCAAGTTATTTCTGGGAAAATGTGTAAAAAATTGCTTCTCTTTAGAATAATAAAAATACTCTTAAAAAAATTTTAAGTGTTCAACATTCTTAGTAATCAGGGAAATAAATGCAAATCAAACCAAGATTTCACCTAACCCCAATCAGAATGGCTAAAATCAGAGAACAAATGACAGCACCAAATCCTGCATGGATGCGGGGAAAGGGGAACCCTCATTCACTGTTGTTGGGATTGCAAACTGGTACAATCACTGTAGAAATCAGTATGGAGAACTCTTAAAAAATTTAAAAGCATTCTATCATATAATCCAGTTATAACACTCCTTGACATACACCCAAAGGATTCAATCTACTGCAGAGAGCTACAAGTCTTAACCTCAACATATAGGATGAATGTATCTTTCAACAGAGAGGTTTCCTTATGCAGCAGATAGTGATTAACACAGAAACTCACAGCTGGCCAATGTGTAGAGAACAAGAGGCTACAGAGTGCTTCTCCCTGAATAGGACACCTATCTATTTCAAACTTCTGCCTCCCAAGGCTCAGGGATCATTGCAGAAGAGGAGGTGGGAAGACTGTAAGAGCTAGAGGGGGTGGCTGACCACAAGAAGACAGAGTTTTCCAGACAGCTGGTCAGTTACTCATATGAACTCACAGCAATGGTGACAGCATGCACAAGTGCCACACAACCTAAGATATTTTTGGCAACTGATGGCTGATGGGAGGGAGAGAGAGAGTCTCTTACAGTGATTTGACTCTTGGTAGGTTGCCCAGGCTCCAGTGGATGGAACTATAGTGAAGAACGTTTTGGGAACACAAATCAGATTATATAGGTTGTATTACATATATAATAGAGTACATGAAATTGGATGGGGGCAATAAGGAGAGGTGTAGATAAGGGAGGGAATCTAAATAACATAAAATTATATTGTATGAAAATGGCAAAAACTCAATAGAAAGAGCCTGAAAGAGGGGCATCAAAGGGAAAAGGTGCTATCAGGGAGAGATGGGGAAAGTGGGAGTGTTCAGATGGGAGGGGGGAGGGAGAGACATGCAGGGGACAATGGGGGTGGGGGAGGAGGAAGCTCAGAAGAGGGGGGATGGGGAAGGTGGGTGTTATGGGGGGAGGGGGGGATAATTGGTACGCTGGACTGGGGAAGAGAGGAGGGAGGTTGAACAGGGAGAGAGAGAGGAAAGAGATGAGTCGATCACGGGTGCCGTGGCAAGACACAGGGAATTGTTTTGGCTTAGGAACCCCCTGAAAAATACACATACAGTATCTGAATATTAGTGCAGGTGTACACCTAGGGGCTGTATGGCAAGGAGCACAGTGCCAGACAGGAAAGACCTCCCTTTGAGTGGTTGGTCAGAGTAGTCTAAGGGACTCCCAAAATAACAGAGGCTATTACAGGAGCCCTTGGTTATCTCCCAGAACTTGAAGGTAAGACCCTACTGTTGAAGACAGGTCATAATTCAGACACAGGACTTGAAGAAATAGGGCAGGAACTGACCTGGAAGCCTTTTCCCTTAAGACTAGTTCTCATAGTTCTGGAGAATACTATGCAAGCTACTAAGGGAGAAAATCAATCCAGCATCCAACCCAGTCCTAAAGCCAAAAAAACGAACAACTGGCACAGCAAACTACCTCAATTAGTGCAGTAGTGGCACTGTTATTTGGGGGTTAATCAACAGCTATCTAATTGGACTTAAAGCCCTCTCAAAAAGAATGAATTCATTGGTGGCACTGTAATTATAGCCAAATATACATGGCTAGGGAGGTCACAGATCCTAGAGAAAAACCTATCTCTGCCATTACTCTACACAAATGAAATTTCTTACCATATGCTAAATATTGATCCTTATATTTACAGACAAGTACACAGTACACCACTCATCAAAGAAGCTTCTTTCTTCAACAAATGGAGGCTACTGCAGAGTTCCACAACTGCTCACATACAGAGAATATATACATCTGAGAGATGCCCAGTCCTAGGTGACATGCCTACAGTGAAACCTCTGCACCTAAAGCTCATGGAGCATAGTGGAATAGGGGGTGAAGAGAATACTGGTACATCCCTCAACTCTCACCAGTGAAGCTTCCTTGTACAACAGAGTACGATGCACACAGAAGGCCACAAATGGCTAAGTTGTAGAGAATAAGAGACTGAAGAGTATGTGTTCTTGAATAGGACTCTATATTAAACCTCACCCACCCACAGCTTAGGGACCATGGTGGAAGAGGGGGTGGAAAGACTGTAAGAGCCAGGGCTGGTCTATGAACATAGGGAAGCAGAGGCTTTCAGGACACTGGAAGCTTGCACATATGAACTTATAGCAATGGTGGTACTGAGCACAGGACCCAGGCCAACTCAAGCAGACAAGGATCCAGACTGGAGAGAGGGAAAATGGTGGTGAGCCGGCCCTAGTCTGGGAACTGCTGGAGACTGATTACTACTGGGTAAGGGAGAATAGGCCTTAACAACAATCTCTAGATAGGCTGACCAGACTCCAGTGGATGAATTTTCACAGAAAGACATCTGGATACAAATGCTTTACTGGCTAGGACTTAACATGTATGGTGGAATACATAAGATCCAGTGGGGTGGGGAGCATGGATTGGGGAGGGCAGTCTAAATTTGATTAAGAACTGTGCTATGAAATGTACAAAAGCTTGATAAAAATTTAAATTTTTTTTTATTTTAAAAGAAAAAATAAAGTTAAAAATAGTTGATAATACCAGAGATTGCATAGAAACTATGAAAACAGTGTTTTCAAAACTCTCAAGGCTAGCTGGGTGTGGTGATACATGCCTTTAATCTCAGCACTAGGGAGAGGCAAAGGGATCTCTGTGAGATTGAGGTCAGCATAGTCTACATGGTGAGTTCCAAGCTTGCTGGGGCTACAGGAAGACCCTGTCTCAAAAAGAGCAAGAGAAAAACACACACACACACACACACACACACACACACACACACAAAACACCACTTAAACAAAAAGTCTTAAGGCTCTATCTTCAATTTTGACATATACAATAGATAATGCATTACTGTTAATCATATTCATTCTGCTGTGAAACAGAACACCAGAACTTAATCTTCATACCCAGTTAAAACTTTGTATTCCTTTCCTGATCCTATACCCCCAGTCTCCCCAGTATCTAGTAACCCCTATGTGTACATGAATTTATTATACCTCATAAACATGTATAAACATTGTAGCCACTCAAAAAATTAATTCAATAGAACTGGGGATATGGCGCAATAGACAAAGCACTTGTCATGTAAGCATGACCAGAGTTCAGATCTCCAAAACCCACATAAAAAAGCCAGGCAGACATGGCAGTCACCTGTAATCCCAGAGCTGGAGAGGCAGAGATGGGAATCCTTGGGGCAAACTAGTTAAATTGAATAGTCAGAATCTTTCCTTTTCATACTTTGTCAGCTAGTTGATCTGATGGCCCCTTGAAAACAAAGCAGTTGCCCTAAAAGAATAGTTTTCTAACTAGAAGTATGTTGAGTTTCTTGGGAAACTTACTAATAAGAACTCTGGTTTACAGAGATTCTGAATTAGCATCTGGTAAGGACCTGAGATCTGGCATCATCAGCCAGGGCTTGAGTACGCCCAGAAATTAAGTAACAGGGCTTTCCTATGATCACCTTGATTCCTCTATTGCACGCATTTTCACCTCTCACAACTTGTGTATTTGTAAACTAGCCAAGTGGAGCAAATCAATACATAAATTTTATGCAAGTCCTATGTGTGTGGCAGAATGGCTCCAAGATTGCTGGACATAACATCCTGTTAACACAGTCCAAAGCTAGCCTTAGTTCTGTTGTTGCTATTTCACTAACCCAAATAAACAGAAAACAGTGAGAAAGTCAGGGAATCACAATGGAATGAAGGTAACTCTGCTGCCTTTCCTTTACTCTTTTCCACTAGGACATCTAAATATGACACACCAAGCTTAATTTTCTTACTCCAAACTTGACAAAAATACAGGCTTGTGTAATGTGGAAAAAAATACTAGGACTAGACAAAGGCATTTACAATGAGTTCTAAGCACTACACATGTGGTTAAGTAATCGGCCCCCATTAATATGTAGACAAAAATGGCAAAAAATTTGGTGCTATTTCCTTCCACATTCCTCCGGTATATGATTATAAGAAGTTTGTTCTCATAAAAGGCAGATTAAGAGAACATCAATAGGGGCTTTTCATAGAAATCTCACACAAATCACAGTCTACTCCAAACATAACCACCACAACTAAAGTAATAATGACATAAAGTTTTCTTCAAATATGAGACATAAATCATAACAAACCATATTCCACATGTAAGATAAGATCCAAAGACTGGTCTCCATGAGAGCGTCTTGAATCATTTATTCACATAACAAATATTTACTAAGCTCATAAATGAAGTGCCAAATTGGGTCATATCCAAAGCACTTAAAACATAAAATGCATTGTTAAATTTCATTCTCATTGAGGAATTAAAGATTGGTGGCGGGGAAAGCATGTTGAAAAAACTCTGCAAGAGAACTAAGAATAAGCGAATTGCACATAAATTAATCCTCATCAATGTTGGACTTTTTGTGTCTATAATATGGTGGTGTCCTGAAATCTTAACTATTTTATGAAATGGCTAAAATGTTAGGCAGAGGAAGAATGTAGAATGCTAAAATGTTACTGTCCCTTGAATGAAGGGAAATAAAAAATGTTCCTGTAAAATCCTTTCCCACTTAAAAAAACAATGAGGAATATAGTCAGGGAGTGCTTGCTCCTAGAGAAAATAATATTTACAAAATAAAGTAGAAATCAATATACATTTATTAAATGTCTACATTTCAACAGCCAGTCCCCAGGCAGTAAAACTAGGATTACCAGTTATAAGGATCAGAAAGAATCTGTCATTATTATGAGATGGGCTTTTTAAGGAAATAAATATTGAAAAGGAATTTTGTTTTTGATTTATAAAAGGCAACTATTAAACAATGATATCTATTTTATCTAACAAAAAAATTGTCCTTAGTACTTTAAATATTATGCCTAGAAAATTCCACAGTTGTTTTTTGAAAAGGCACTTACTTAGCAACCCCATAATGCCTTACCTGCCCAACTCTCCCTGGATGTTTCAAAGCCAAGCCTCCACTGGAGACAGCAGCAGCAACATTCCCTTCGTGGTCCACAACCACAGCGCCCACAGTATCCAAAGTGCCTGAGTCATTTTCCTATGGAGCAAAAGGGCACAAGTGTTCACCAGGACTGGTGTGAAATACCTAGACATGACTATACAGTGGATACAATGTTCACCAGGAAGGATGTGAGACACCTACACACAGCAGGCAGTGTTCACTGGGCCTGCTGTCAGACACTGAGTCATGACTGAACAGTAGGTACATTGTCACTAGGCCTGGTATGGGACAAAGACATAACCGCACTGGGTAGTGTTCACCAGGCCTGGTATAAAACACTTAGACATGACTGCTTACCAGGCAGGGTGAGACACCTAGACAGCAGCTGTATATTCACCTTTCAGTACACACAATACAAACTTATCTAAATTAATCCTTAAATGGAACAATAGTCATTTCTTTACTCTAATATTTTCTTATTTTCACTAAAAAATGAATAACATGACTATTTAATGGAAAAATAACAATATAAATTACAGCTTACAGCAGTACCTAACAAAGTAGCTCCTTGGTCTCAAAAATTTGTGGGGGAAAATATTTGTGATATGAATGAACCAATAAATGCTAGTATTAGTATTTTTTAAATATATCAGAACTTCAAAGAGTAATATATTCAGAACAGAGTGCATAGAATGGCACTTACAACCTTATAATGTAATACACTAGCATTTTTTCCATCAATTCCTTGCTTAAAAGAAACTTAATGACACTGTCCCTTTTCTGCTGTTATCAATATGTTTAGTAACTTAATGACAGACAACTGTCACTAGAAGTCATGCTTATGTCTAAGTGCCTTTTCCCCAGTCCCACATGATTTCTTGGCCATCCATTCTAGATAGACAAGCTAGTAGATGAAAACAGAATTAAAGGAGGCATGGAGAAAAATCTCTTTACCTTTTTTGTTTTTGAGACAGGCTCTCCCTGTAGCCCCAGCTGTCCTGGAACTCACTATGTAGTCCAGGCTAGCCTTGAACTCACAGAGATCTGACTGCCTCCGCCTCTCGAGTGCTGGGATTAAAGGCGTGCACCACCATGCCCGGCCCTCTTTACCATTATTAAAAAGGAAGGTTAATATAGGTTTTTAGGTTAGTATCCATCATGGTAGTATTCTAGGGTTAGGACAATAGTTTTTAAACCATATGCCCAACCACAGACCCAACCCCAGCATGCATGAAAGAGCTAGGGATGACCACAAGTTCCTAATTGCTGGTGCTCCACCACTGTGGTTTCAGGCTTTAGAGCAAAAATTTCATTTGTGTTGTAGTATCCTCTGTATACTGAGAAGTAAAGTAACACACCTGAGCAATCACCAAAAATGTCTATAACCTCCAGGAGTCATCTCAGTCAAGAGGGCAAAGAGAGTTTTCAGATATTGTTAACAGACTAAAAAAAGATTTTTTTTCTTTAAGATAAACTGAAAAGCAAGAGATAGAGCATTTCATAAATTTTACATTAACTCTAATAACAGAAAATACATTTAAACATTTCTATTACTTCATTTTTTAAATTTTAAATCCATAAAGCATAATGAAAAATGATATGACAGTAGAAAATATTTCTAGTATCTCTGAACCATACTTGAAGGAAATCTAGCCAATAGAACCATGTGATCATATCTCAGAATAACACAATTTTGCTTGTGGTCAGGAGCATAACTTTCAAGGACAGCTTCAGGCTTGACTCTAAACTCCCTGAGGAGGGAATCTGGTCCTCATACACCAAAACAGACACCAAATAGATTTTAATCAAGAAAAGAGTGATAATTTTATTAAGAAAAATGCTTTCAAAGTGAACATTTGTGGAGCTGAAGACATGGCTCAGCAGTTGAGAGCACTGACTGTTTTTCCAGAGGACCAGGTTTGATGAACCCACATGGTGTTGACAACCATCTGTAACTCTAGTTCTGGGAAATGTGATGCCCTCTTGTGGCATCCATAGGCACTACATGCACGGCTGCACTGGAAGGCATGCACCCAAACACTCATACACATTTAAAAATTAAAACAGGAGAATATGTAGCTTGCACATTTCCTCTCTCTCTCTCTCTACCTCCTCTCCACTCCTCTCCCCTCCCCTCCCCTCCCCTCCCCTCCCCCCCCTCTCAATCTGTGCCCACTTGAAGATGTGAACCCACAGCTTTCTGTTCTAGCTGCCTCCTGCCACCACCTTCCATGCCTGGCCAACCATGATGGATTCATCTCTCTGGAACCATAAGTCAAATAAACTCTCCCTTCTAGAAGTTTCCTTGGACATGGTGTTTTATCACAGCAACAGAAAAGTAACTAATACAGAAGTTAGTGCCAGACAGTGGGCTGCTGCTGTGAAGAACCATATTTTTCGAAGAATGTGGAAAATTGGAGGTTGGACTAAAAGAGCAATAGAATGTTGTAAGCAGAGCTTAGTAGGCCACTCTAGTACAAGTCTCGAAAAATGCAGTGTAGAGAGCAAGGTATTAATAAAGGAAAATGAGGACTTAAGCACCAACTGGGATATTTTACCAAAACATTTAGCTGCTGTTGCCCATAGCCTAAGAGCTTGCCTGAGGCTAAATTAAAATACAAAGGATTTATTTTTTTAGCAGAGAAAATTCTAAGATATCCTAAAATAGAATTGGTAGCATGGTTAGTAGTGGTGAATATTATGCAGATCTCCAAAAAAAAAAAAAAAAAAACGAGCAAATGGGGCAGGAAGAAATAAGAAATATAAAATTTGAAGAGAAAAAGAGGACTAGTACACTTAATGTTGACACCAAGGCCTGGGCTGAAGGAAAGGCTCTCTTTTGATAAGGAGATTAGGCCTTCAAGGAGAGGCCTCCAGATTTGCACTAAGCCAATGGAAAAAGACTCCACCCAGCTAAGCTTCCTTATGAAAGGAAAAGGACAAAGGAGTTTTCAGCTCCTAGAAAACTGTAACAGAAAAAAGGTGATAGTAATGTAGATGAAGAGAGCCAGAGTTAACCCCAAACTGGCAGCCAAACTTGGCAGTGTTGTCCACATGGCTTTAGAGGCATGAAAGATGCAAGCGTGAAGGGGCAATAGGTTCTTCCTCCTCAGTTTCAGAGAGCCAGGTAGTACAGGAAGTGTATAGCAGGGGAGCCCCTGCAAGAAAGCTATTGCCTACTAAGGGACCCTGAGAGGCCATTACATGAAACTGTGAGGGTAAAGCCTAGTTGGTAGTAGAGGTCACATGATGGAGATGCCAGAAGCACGAGACATCTACCAAGGAGACACCTACCAAGGAAGGGCTGAGCCACATAAGCCCTTTGGAAGTAAAGTCCAGGACATAGGACATGGAGCTACTGGATTTAGTGTTTGCATTCCTGGTTTTTGGTCTTGCTCCAGTCTGGTATCTCCTCAATTTGTCTCCATTCCTCCCTTTTGGAATGGGAATGTGTATTCAGTTCTATTGCATGGTGAAAGTATGTAATTTGGTTTTTGATTTTACAGCGAATTAAAGATTGCCTTGAGTCTCTGAAGACACTTTGGAATCTGGACTTTTTGAATAGTGTCAAGACTGTAAAAAGACTTTCAAGGTTGGACTAAATGCATTTTGCATTATGATACTGCCTTGAGCCTACAGGTGCCAGGGAGTGGAATATGGTGAAATGAGTGTCCCCCATAGATTCTAAGTATTTGGACAATTGGTCCCCAGTTCATGGAACTGTTTGGGGAGGATGATGGAACCTTTAGAAGATATGGTCATGCTGTAGGAAGCATGTCATTAGGTGTGACTTTGAGAGTATATAGCTTCCCCACTTCCGGTTTATCTCTCTGCTTCCTGTGCTTGCTTGAAGATGTGAGCTCTCAGCTTTCTGCTCCGATTGCCTTGTCGCCTCCTGCCATGCCTGCCCACCATGATGGACTCTAATCCCTGGGGAACCATAAATCAAACTCTTCCTTCTATTAAAATTAAATTAAATTAAAGCCAAATACATATTTTAGAGGGGTAAGATTCGTTTTACAATGCTAATACACCACTTCTAAATTTTAATAACTTTATAACTTTAGTTACAAAAGTATTTCTTTCTTGACCAAATGACTAGTCTTATGTCTTCCATAGGATAGCTTCTCAAACATTAATGTGCATACAAATCATTCAGAGAATCTGTTTAAGTGAAAATTCTTATGGAGTAACCTAGAAACTGGCAGAGACTATATCTAACAACCTTCTAGGTAACACTGATGCTGGTCCTCAAATACTACCTTGAAAAACACACCACAGGCACACAACAAAGCATTTTAAAGTACTGGTCTGACTTCAGTGGTTTTCAATGTGTGTGTGTGTGTGTGTGTGTGTGTGTGTGTGTGCACGCACAGGCGTGTGTTTGTATTTTGCCTGCAGGTATGTAAGTGCACTTATGTTATGCAATGCCCAGTAAGGACAGAAGAGGGTGTCAGATCCCCTAGAACTGGAGTGACAAATGAAATGAGTAACAGGGCTGGAGAGATGGCTCACTGATTAATACCACTGGTTATTCTTGTACGGGACCCAGGTTCGGTTACCAGCACCCACATGGTGGCAAACAACTATCTGTAACTCCAGTTCCAGGGGATCTGACACATGATTCTGACCTCTGTGAGCATAACACAACACAAATGCATTTTTTTTTTCTGTCTGGCTTCTTTCTCTTAGCATTTTTTTTTATTTAATAACCACATGATTAGAAGAAGCATTTCATTACACCTTTAACATATTCAATAACAATGTCCAGAGAAAGAATACCTCTCTTTCAAAAGTGGCTGTAATTTTTAGGCTTACAGTTAAATTAATACAGTTATACAATACTGAACTCAGTATAAATCGTGTAGGACATAAAATTGAATGAGTTTTTAACCTTTAAATAAGATCTCCATTTCATTTTAAAATACACTGTTTCCAATATTTTTAATGTTTCTAACACTTAGATGTTTGCACATGTGCTTTAATCTCTATGGATCTGATTATTACTGGTCATAGTCAGTTACACTCAGATTCTTGGCACCCGAGGATGGATATAAAGTCATCAGGTAGATTTCAAAGGTAATGTTTATCACCTC